CGGAGCCACCGTCCGGATCCGGCTTTTTGAGGTCTCAGCCCGGGCTCCGGTTCCTGCTCCTCTGATCGGCCTTAGCGGTGCTCCCTGGTCAACATTCCCTCCTATTCTCGAGATCGCCAGAGTCACTGTCCTCGCTCCCCATCCAATTGAAGGAATGCACGGGCCTTCGCAGGCCAGAACCCCTTCATTTAGTGACCATAGTTCAAAAACGGGAGGTCGGCAGATTAAAAAAAAATCCAGATAACTGCCAATTAGGATCGATGTTTTATGGCACAGATAAGCACGGTCAAAACTAACCATCCTTGTTGCCCTACGGGGCCATTTGAGATGAGGTCAGACCAGCTTCAGAGCATGCTGGGAGACGTAGTTTTGAGGAGTTTGAGGAGCGGAAGAACCGGGGCTAATTACTAAAATAACCGCGAATTTTAGTTTTAGCCTTTAAAAAAAGGCCTCAACTCTGTGAATTGTTGCAATCTGAAAATATGCCCATATAACCAAAGACAGACAAAATGTGGCCACCAAGAGCACCATCCAGCTACATTAGAGTGACTTTTTTTGGTGGAGGACCAATTAATTCTACAAATGGTTTGAAATATTTACACAGTGAATTCTGTGCCTCTGTGCCTCATTGCTTTTCATCACCTATCCATGTTCATGTAAGAGTTAACAATCTCATATGTACAGATAGAAGTGATCAAATTTTTTCAAAAGGTAGACCATCTCAATAATTGATAAGCTGATAGCACTTTCCCAAGAGGTTGGGTGGTACCCTGGAAATGGCTTGGTAGATTCCAATCAAACAATGATGTCAAATTACTCCTTGAAAACTCATGTGCACTAAAGGTGTAAGCAGATATTTTCAGTGATGTTTGGAGACTACAACTATCTCTCCTTCATCCCTTTGCTTTTGCAGCTGTTGAAAAGTTAGGGAAATGTTCTACATTTCATGTGAGGGTCCACATTTAAGCATATTTTGAAGTAGTTTTAGAATCAGTATTTCCAAGTTCCTAGGGGACCGTATGTACTAATGCAAGTTGGTCAGTGCCGAAGCCTGAACTGACCTACTAACACCCTCCAGACAACCCAAAACCCTTACCTTCTTCAAAATCTACCTTGCTCTTTACTCTCTAAACATTTATTGAGCATTGTGATATGCACTTGTATATATTCTCTCATTTCATCCTTGCAGCAGTCCTATAAAGGAGGTTGTAATACACCATTTTACAGATGCAGTTTAAAGAGAAAAAAACTGTTCAAAGTCACACACTTAACAAACAGAAAAGCAGGAATTCAAAACCAGGTCTGCCTGATGCTAAAGCCCTTACTGTATAAACTTGATTCATCCAGGATGGCTCTCTGTTAAATCTAAATTTGTTCAACCATGCATTTAGTACCCCCACAAGACTTAGTATTCTGCAAATGTTTCTTTTTCCTGTGACGTGTTCTTTAACTAGATGTGAGCACTCATGCTTCTTTTATATTTTCCCACAGCAACTAGTTCAAAGCTCTGCAAAACATTTATCTGACATCAACTAAGTATGGTACAGCTTATAATGCAATATGATGTCTGCTCCCAGGGAATTTGCATTCTCGTAGAGAAGAGACAAATACACAAAAAACATATGCAACGCAGAGTCAGATAATGAACATAGGTTGCTTAGATTACTTAATAAATAAGCATCAAGTACCTAATAACTGGTCCTTAAATGTCAACCGGGAGTCTTATCCAGTGTTGTTAGAGGGGGTCTTAGCAGATGGACAGGATTTTACTTGGTGAAGATGGGAGCCAGGGGAGGGCATGCAGTCTAGAATCAACAGCATAAGCGAAAATACAAAGGAGAATATTTCTAGTCTTCAGATGAAGGGGCTGGATCATGAAGGATTTTGAATGCCAGGCTAAAGATTTATCCTGTGGGAAATGGGGAGACATTTAAACATTTAAAAAAAGGTTTCTATAGCAGTGGTGTGGAGGAAAGATGAACTATTGAAAGACTACAGGCAGAGAGAGTGCCACAATGGTCCAGATGAGAAGTAATGATGATTTAAACTACAGTAGGGGCAATGGGAACAGATAGGGAGAAACAATGCACAGGGTAGGTTCAATAGGACCTCCTGACTACTTGGATATTGGTGAGAGAGAGGGAGATGGGAAAGAGTCACTGAAAACTCTTTAAGTTTAAAGTCTAGGTGAAGAGATAGCTAGTGGTATCAATATAAGGAAGAGTGGAGCAGAACAAACATGAGTTTTATTTTAAAAATGTTAAAAGTGTTTCATAAATCAATGGGTTAAGCAGGTGCTTACCCTTTTTTTCATACATAAGAAAGAGATAGCTACAGTCATGAGTGGCTGAGATGGTCAAGGGAGCTACAATGGAATAGCTAATAGTCACATCTTAACATTTCCAAACCAAATTCCTTATTTCCCCATCCAAGTCTTTCCCACCCCTTCCCCATCTTTCATAGCTCAGTAACAAGACCAACAGCTATCAAGTTGCCTAAGCCAGAAACCTGGGAACTGATTCCCTCTTTTCCCCTCACTCTCAAATCTAATCTATCAGCAATTTCCATTGGTTCTGCCTTCAAGACATGTCTTAAACACTGTACATCCACTTCTCTCCCTCCACACTGCTGCTACCCCGGTCCTGCCACTTTAATCTCTCACCTGTACTTTCAGCAATATCTAACTAGTTTCTATTCCACTCCTGCTGACCTACAATCCATTCTTTTTAGCAGCCATCAGAGTGAGCTTTAAAAAAAATAAAAATAAAAAAACTCGCCCGGCCGGGCGTGACTCAGCAGTTGAGTGTCGGCCTAGGATCCAGGAGATCAGGGTTGGATTCCCGGTCAGGCTGTGGGCTCAGTCCCCAGCAAGGGCCGTGCAGGAGGAAGCCAATCAATGACTCTCATCATTGATGTTTCTATCTCTCTCTCCCTCCCTCTTCCTTCCTCTCTCTAAAATCAATAAAGATATATAAAAAACAACAACAACTCAATCAGGTGTCACATTTTAAAACCTGCCCCACACCATGGTGAGAATCTTTGAGCTAGGAAGAGAGTGTAATTTTTGGGAATGCCTGTTTGTAGGGGTTAGAAAGGAGACAAAAAACGAATAGTTGGGTGATAACTAGTATAGTAGTTTCATAGAAATCGAGGGATGAGAGGTTTACAAGGGAGAGGTAGTAACAATGTCATGTACTGCAAAAGAATCAAAGAATCCTTTTATCATTAGGAGCTCACTGGTACCCCATGAAAAAAATGAGAGGTAGGGGAGGAAGCCAGATTTCAAGGGGTTCAGGAGTGAGGCCAACACTGCCAAGTATAGTTTCCAATGAAGAAATGTGATTCTGAAAGAAAGGAGTTAGTATATCAGCCTGGTGGGGGGTGATATCAGAGCCCAGGAATGGTTTTTAGGATAAGGGAGAAATGCATCTGTTTATAGACAGAGGGGAAGGAGTCCCTGGGGCTGTAAGAGTTGACTGAAAGGTGAGATCATGACAGGTGGGCACTATAAGGAGGAAATGGATTTGTTCTGGACCTTACTGGATAGGCAGTGAAAGGGAGAGGGCAGGATTCAGGTTGGCCAACCGACACCCTAAAATCTGGACTCTAATCAGATGACATGAAAAAAGATTGCTTTATGTGTTCTTTCAGATCTAGCAAACAAACAGGTAGCTGAACACCTCAGTGCAGGAACTTTACTTTTAAACTGAAAACAGTATCCTCAATCAGTACACAATGTAGCAAGATGATTCAACTGAGGAGAAAGATAAATTGTTGCAGGAGGCTATGGGATTGGCAGCATATTCCTGCAGGAAATCTCACAGGGAGGCTGGACCCTTGTTTAGGATTAAGACAGAGCACAAACCATGCCACAGGTCCCTAACCTCAGTTTTCCACATGCTTAATACCCATACAGTCCCCTAGTTGAGAAGAAAACCTGTCTCAGAGTGCTGGATCTGTAGCCAGAGTACTTGAGTTCAGAGGAAGTAGCTTGAATCGTGGATCCAAAGTTTACCTGTGTGGTGACAATGAGCAAGTTCCTTGACTGACTTTCCTCAGGTATTATTGCTAAAGGTAGTTTTTAAACTACCAGGTCAGGTTGGGCTGTGCCACTTTTGATGATCTCTGCTGCCTTTACTTGTTGGCAGAAGCAGGGAGATGGGAAAGCAAACACATTATAAAGGCACCCACCCCTTTGGTCACCTTCTTCTGTGCATTTCACAATCTGCCTACTGATACTTCAACTGTATTTAACAGACTGACCCTTGTTTTAACACCACTTTCTAATGTCTTTTCTTTAGACATTTTCTCAAATCCCAGCTCTACCACTTACTAGCTGTTTGATCTGGAACAATTTGCTTAAAGTTAACCTCAGTCCTTGCCAAGTGCCCATGTAACAATGTCTGGCATTATGCAAAATAGTTCTTAATTTTTAGGAAAATCTCCCTCTATTATTGTCCTCACCCCCATAGCACTACTGCATGAGTTCTTCTAGTGGTTTGAGATTTTAGGCCTAACCTTAAAAGAAATCAGACTTCTGCTAAATATAGGATGCCCATATCATCCAAACTGGGACACTTTTGAGAGTGACAGAGAGTGCTATTAATAATTATGCCAGGACAACAGGCACAAATGGGGACTATTTCAGGCAAACCAAGACCTAAGGTTACTCAAGTTTACTAGAAAATGAAGACTAAATGTGGAAAACTGAATCTCTACTGCATTAGTACAGGTACTAGGTATGTGGCAAGTGCAAAAAAGGGATGGTAGAGATTTTGTGAGCTGTGGCTAAGAACAACTTTTGCCCTAACAGCTGCATAGAATTCCCAGAATGTAGTGAAACCTAATTAACCAGGATGGGACTATAGCAACAGTTCATCCTTACTGGGTAAACCCTCTTTTGTTACACAAAAGGCTAATAAGTAGTACAAACAAGATTCTGCTGAATATTTGTAAAACTTAAGAGAACAAATTGTTCTTGGTACCTTCCAGTAGCACCGAAGTACCATTTGTACACAATTGTCAATGCTGAATAAAGATCAGTCTTATTCATTCATCAGAACAGGTTCCCTAAACATGTCAATAAACCCAATTGAATTTAGTGAGCCTCATTTGAGTGGGTATGTATTTGAATGGTAAAACTGCATTTCTTTACATAAATTATATAACATATTATATAATGCATACTATGTGATTTATATATTAGTATTATTCTACTTTGACCCAACTAATGAGCTTTGACTGTAGTGTGTAATTAGAATACATAAAATAGAGCCATGAAATAAATTCCAATCACAAAAACACATGTTAAGTTTTACACATTGGCACCAGACATGATTTAATTGGAAATTCTATTTTTTATTTTATTTTAAAAACAGAAGTGCTTTAAAAATCCGTCTCTTTTAGTATCACATGCTTAAATACAATCAAGTTTTCTAAAAGATTGGTTTAAGAGTGAAGCATAGTTAGAGGGGAGCACAGTGCTAGACAACTTAGTCAACTCAGAGAAATGCAGCCATCAGTGTCAGTTCAAGCAAATTAGTGTGGGAGGGAGTGGTGGTTTTCACCTGTGCTACTACAGATGTAGTCCAAATGTTGGGGCACTTGTAGCTAGTGAAAAGACAAAGTTTCAGAATAGGTTGTATACTATCTTTACAAGTGACCAGAAAATCATGTAAGCAGGAAGTTACTTACTGTGTGTTTTCATTTGCTCTAAGAGGTATTGAGAAGGCTGACCATCCTCTCTGTTTTTATGTTTTCTATCACCCTACTCTGCTCACTTATTCATGTGTACTCATAAGATTGTCACTGGTTCTGTAAGAATTATTTAGAGACTCCCCCATCTCGATCCCCATTCTTGGGGAAAAACCGGAAAAATCGAAGGGAAAAGTGGGGATTGAAGTAGGAAGTTCTCCGAGTGAAAGTGGGAAAATTAGGAGAGCTTTTACACATAAATCAGAAGGAAAGTGCTGTGTACTAAATGTGTCCCTTCCAAATTCATAGGTTGAAGTTTTAATCTCCAGTGTCATGGTAATTGGAGGTGGCCTTTTTCAAAGCTAATCAGGATTAGATGAAGTCATGAGCGTGGAGTTCCCATGACAAGATTAATACCCTTTATAAGTAGAGGAAGAGGCCAGAGGTCTGTCTCCACACCATGTGAAGACACAGCAAGAAGGCAGCTGCCTGCAAACCAGGAAGCAGGCCCTCACCAGACACTGAATCTGCTGGGACCTTGTTCTTGGACCTCTCAGCCTCCAGAACTGTGGGAAATAAACGTGTGCTATATCAATGTTCCAGTCTATGGTTTTTGTTATAGTAGCCTGAACTAAGACAGAAAGTTAGAAAAAACATTCTTCAAACAAGGCTACCTAAACATGGGACCAGGGAAGAGGACTTAACATTTCTTCCACTACCCTTTGTGTGTCAGCCTGAAGCCAGTCACTGCCCCACCCCCTACCCCTGGCCACAAGTAACACTTATATTTACATACTTGATTACTCTGTCAAATGTAGCTACAGATATTCAGGAACATAAAATTACTTACATTCAGAAAACTTCCCATGTATGCTTAGACAAACACAAATGCAGTTGTGTGTAAGAAACAGATATATGCCCACAGATAGCAAGCTATACACCAACACTAGAATCAGCAAGTGAAAATGTAAGTGAAAGAGTTTAAGAATAGATGAGAGGGCAGGGAATTGGGGGTGGGGTGGATGCTGTAGAAACTAAGTAGGTGAGTGAGACCAAGACTAGGCGAACACAAGGAAAGAGTGCTCAGTAAGGCATCCAGAGACTGGACTGCTGGATTCCTCTTTGGCAAAGACATAGGCTTCAATTGGTCTCTGTGTTGTGTGCCAGGCACCTCTTCAGGAGCCAGGATTAGGTGCACAAGGCTCTCTTCAGGGCACTTACCCACCTCTGATTCCCTCTTTGTTTCCTAGGTATAATACACTACCCAGGCATCTTTTCTTCTGCCCCCTTCCTCTCTGGAATTGGGCTCCTGGCTTCATTTCTCTGGGTCATTCTGCATTTTCTGCTACAAATAACTCTCTGAGTCCCACCCAGCAGTCGTCACAAGAGTGATTTCGAGTGTTAATGCACAAATCTTAAACTATACACATTGGACTTGCAGTTTTTGACATTTCACCAAAGGGAGACCAGAAATCATGTGTGTGGATACAGAAAAGGCAAAAGCAGAAACATTAATTCTGCACAGGAAGGAGTATATCATTCCATGTGAGGCAATATGTGAGTAAAGAAGGAAACTATAATCTGCTACCCTCTTTTTCCAAGAAAAGGCACTTAGAGTAAATATTTGCAATTTGTAGCAGCATAAAATGGAACAATTTAGGCTTTACTCACTTGAAATAATGTCCCAAAGTACCCATCACTCATTCACACAAGGAAACCACACATAAGGAAAACCAAACTTGAATAAGCTATTATTAATACCTGCTCCCTAAACAGCAGTTAGAAAACTAAGTGTGTAACAGGTCTAGAGAATAAAAACACATGCATACTTTTGTGATCCATGAAAGAATTAAGGCCCACAATGAAAAGCCTGGGTGAGCAAGGGTTCACTTCTAAAGTAGTTAGTTTGTCAGAAAAGTCCACTGTTCCTGGGAGTGATGAGTTGGAATGGGGCTGGGTGGGAGTGATCAGGCCATCACATTTCAGTTCCATGCACAATCAACCGAGGCAGGAACCAGCTGTCAAAAGGCTCCTAGTAGCCAGAGCCCAAAGGCCTCATTGCATGGCACAGATGCTGTGGGGCAGGAACTCCTGCACGTAGGTGGCGGCTGCCTTGGAGAGGTAGGTCATGGTGCCAAACCTGCCACTGGGTGCACTGTCGTACAGAAGAGTGCAGATGCCAGATGCGGGATCCTTTGCCAACATGATATCATCTGCGCCGAGGGTTTTCTGTTTGGTTTTTAAAGGTGGGAGAACACAGGGGAAAGGAAAAATTACTAATCCTACTAATTAAAGTCCTGGTTAGGATAATTCAGAGCCTTCTCCCTATCACCAACTAGTTGGATCTTAGGCTGTTTAGCCAGGAAGGGATCAGAATTATGCACAAAGCAGTGAATATGTTCTAAACATGCATTTTTCACTAGATCCAAAAATCATATGAAATTATATTTAAAGTATTAGCTGTTTAGAATTTTTGAAAGCTAAATATAATTGTTAATTAAATGAGCTGTGCCTATTAAAATTCAAATGTTAATACTTACAAATCACCCTAGAGGGACTTTTGTCTGAGTCTTTCTAATACTACTGATTTCAGTTGTGCATTATTTTATCTTACATTTGATCATTATTTCTTTCTAGGTCAACTTAATTCAAGTAGAACAATAGCTTTCTAACCTAGAGTCTATGTCTAAAAGGGATTGCATTTCTGATACACAAAGTAACTGCAATCCAGAATATTTAAAATTAGGATTACCCTAGAAAATCCTGGATACTTTTACTTTTTTTTTTTGCATTCCTCCACAGTGCCTAATAGAATAAAACACCTGTTACATGTTTTAGAGATTTCCCATTGACAACAGTGCATGTCCGTCACCTTATGTGTTCCTACACTTAATCTAGGAAACATTTGGAAAGCTTTCAATAAATAGTTTACATTTTAAAAATATGGTTAATTTCCTAGAAGAAAATTTATTAAGAAAAATGTAGAATTATAAGTTTTAAATAAAATCTTTTCTTTTCCTTAATAGTTCAGAAAGGATATGATACCCAATAGTCTTATTAATTCCTTATCACAACAAAGAGTAGTATGATAAAAAGTTTGAAATACAATGAAAAGTACAAAAGCCTCCTGAGTTTCAGGCAACTTTACAATCTAACACAGTCACAAAATACATAGTGAAAGACAGGTCATCTCGCAGCCTAGTTCCTTTGCAATCAGCTCAGAGCCACTACAAAAGGGGCCCAGAAAAGAGCTGTGAAGAAGAGGGCACAAGAAAGTGGCCATGGCTTCCTGAAGAGCTCTGAATGCAGTCAGGTTAGTGTCAGACATTCCCTTTTGAGAAAACAACAGGTTTGCATACCTGTTCTTGAAGGAACAAGTCATTGGCAATATGCACTATTTTTTCCACAGCAATAATGCTTCCAATACTATGAATTTCAATGTCTGCCATCATGGTGAGGACAAGGATGGCTTCAACCAGAAGCTGGCGGTATTCTGGCTGAGGTACACGATTTAGGACAGACTCCACATGAACAGAGAATTTAATCTCGCCTGGAGTCATCTGTGATGGAGAAAAAGAAAGTCATTTCTGAAGAACCCATCATCAGGAAGCATCAATCACCTATTCTGAAAGGTAGTAAAAACACAGTAGCCCTGAGTACTGCTTCAGTATTTTTTAAAGTGATTGAGTAAATTGGTTCAATCTTTTTGGAAGTCAATCTGGCATTGCCTAATGAGTCGTACAAGTGTCTATGCCTTCTAACCCAAAATCCTATTTCTGAGAGTTCATCCTAACAAAATAATTCAAAAGAGAAAAACAAACAAACCTATGTACAAGTGTTTATAGCAGCATTAGTCACAAGTGTGAAACTAGAAGGAATCTAAACATGGGAATGGTTGTGTAAATAATGGCATATCATGGTATAGCAACTTCATGAGTTATTACAGAATCATTTAAAAGAATAAATATGACTATGAATAAAGAAAAATCTAAATATAACTTAAAATAATAGATACATGATGATTAGAGGTATGTAAAGCATTAATATACTGTTAGGTTTAAATGGGCCTGAGGAAATACAAAGTTATTTTAAGGTGAAGGGGATTGAGGAATAATTTTTGGCAAAATTGTATTGAGTATACATTTTAGGGTGGCAATGTAGATTTGGAATCTAAAAACCTTGGTTCAGGTCCTCTCTTTGTCAGTTACTAGTTCTACTACAATCCCTTAGCTATCTCACACAGTTGTGTTGAAGATCAAATTAAAGAATGTGTCAAGGTGCTTTGAAGACTCTTAAAGGTACCATTCAGTTATGTATTATTATTAATTCTATTAACATTTCAATCTTGCTTAAAGACAGAGAAAAGACAAAAAGGACACAGTGTTCTTTATTAGAGGGAAGGCCTATAGGCAAGAGTGAAGCTTTGAAGCATAGCATCAACTTTCTGTGCCTGCCCCTGTGGACATTATCTGTAACATTTCCAGTATTTTTGAGAATTTTTTACTGTCCAATCTTATTATTTCTAGCTTTTTAATTCTAACTTCTTTGTTGATTTCTCATAAAAGCTATTTCCTTAAAATTTCTATACATTTGGGCAAAAAGTAAAATATGAAAGCATCTTATAATTTATGTCTGTGGTTCATGGCAATGTTTCTCAACCATGGCTACATATCAGAGTTGTTCTAAGAATTTTTAAAAGGTGCAGAAGCTCAAAAACAAAAAAAATTACAGATACTCAGGCCCCATCCCTGGAGATACAATCCACTAAATTGGAGATGAGAACTTAGGTTTCTGTGACATATAGTTGGAACTAAGGACCACTGGTTTATGATCTAATAGTCTACAAGCATCCTACTAGAGAGTGGTGGGATTAAGAATGATGGGGACATGAGAAGTCATTCATCCTTAGGTTTTTATCTTGTCTGACCTCTCCAACTCTGGCAACATTCACATAAATCAGCCTAATTTAATCATTAAACAAGCTGTCCTTATATAACTAATATAATACCTAATTATTCTCTAATATTCCTGTTCTATTTGTTAAAAACATTCTCTCCTTTCTTCAAATGCATTTCATGTTCGGTTGATTTATAAAAGCATAGATCTGTTATTTTGAAAAGTGATCACTGAGACACTTTAGTCAGACAAGCTATCAATCACATAAACGTGAACAACAGAGAATCTTACCTCTCTAGTGGTTGAAGAAGGAAGAACAAAACCTTCCACCGAAAGTCCATGACACTGCAAAACAGCAAAAATATGTTGTCACTAAGGATATGCTGACAACTGGGAGGCTGTAAGGAGACACTTAGTATTTCTGAGTGTACCTCACAGGGTAGATGCTGAGTAATCACAGGCCAGTGAAAGGCCCTGCAGCTCAAGTGTTCTTGCCAAGAGGTTATGATTACTATGTACCAAGAAGCAGGGTTGGACTATAGGAGACCTAAGGTTCATCTTCTACTTAGGGGAATGGAAGGGATAGGGAAGGTCTACCTTTGGCAACAGACTGGCCCCAAAGATTCAGAGACTACATAGGAGGATACCATACTCAGTCTCAGAGCCAACACAAATAGGCTTTCAGAAAGGTTTTTAGGCTGAAGAAAAAAACTAACATATACATTTAATGGACATGCACAGTTACTACATTTTTTAGTTAAACACTCCTCATCAGCACTCCTGCTCTACTTCTTCTATAGTATTTGTCATCTTTTAACATTCTATATAATTTACTTATTTATTATGTTTGTTGTTTATTGTTTGTCTCTCTCTAGTAGAATGTAAATTCCATAAGGTCAGAGATTGCTGTCTGTTTTGTTCTTTGCTGTATCACTGTTAGCACCTAGGACATTGCCTAATGCACAGGAGGTGCTCAAGACATACTATATAAATGAATGATATTTTATCTTCCTCTACACCATCAACTCAATTACTAAAAACCAGTAAGAACTAATGACTTGCCATTTTAGATTTTAAGTAAATCAAAACATTATATATTACACCACAGATAAAGATTTCAATCCAATGGGTTTAGTGACTGACACTTCTATCCCATGTTCCATAAGCCAAGTAACAGTCTTTGTACAGAGAATTACTAGTCTTCAAGCACATGTGCACTGTGATTATGTCACATTCATAGTCTGAAAAGAATGGAATGAAAAAAATAGAGGGCATCTTTTTTCCTTCTTAGATCAGGATTCCAAGCCCAGGTTTTGATTCTGCCACAAAATACCCAATCTTCCTAGTCAGATTTAAATGTTTCTTCTCTTGTATTCTCACAGCCTTGTGGTTTTACACCTTTATCATAATATATTTTGGCCTTGCATTATAGTTGCTAATTAAGATAACTGGATTAAATTCCTTGGTGACAAGAACAGATACCTTCCATGGTATTTGGAGTAGAACAGTACCTACTACACGTCTGTGAAACTGAATTTCTGTAAGCCAGGTGTAACTGGAGAGATAAAGTGCATATCTGCTACCACTGTGCTAGAGAAGTTAGATGGAAGAAAAGCAAGTTTTAGGTACTATTTGAAAGGAAGATTGCCAGGGCTGATAGTCTAAGGGATCAACTTCCACCTTTCCAAAAGATCACATGATTCTGTCCCTGAAGAAGAAAATTAATGTGCTAAGGGGAGAAACATAATTAAAGGTTTTGAAGTCCTGGATCTTTAGGTTCTTGCCGAGGGCAATGAAGTAAAAAAGTGATACCTAAGAGACTGTGAATGAGGCCTATGAATGAGTACAATGGTCTTCTTGGCCCTCTAAATCTGTCACAAACATAATGGTATGATGTACCCTTAAATGTCTTTGGCAAACTAAGCCTTTGAAAGAAAAACAAAATTGGTCATATCAACAAAGTCTTTGGACTATTAACATCATCATCACTTTGCATTTATTTAGTAGTTTTCATCCAAAACAAAAAACACAAAACACAGATAAGAGCTTTTATACAAACTCCTCAGATGCTGCAGTTATTTTACTATAGTGACATTTAGTTATTAACTCCACATTGCCACAGATAACATTTCCACTCTACAACAGCTACAAAGAAAGTTGAGGTGTTTTTTTATCACCAAATTCATTTGATTAGCAGCAAATGTATTATAATGTCTAACTGTGGACAAAAGCAGAGAAGTGACGATTTTTGAAATATAATTTATAAGCAACTCTATAGCAACAACAGTGGAAAGAGAATAAATTATCAGTGCTGTCAAAATAACAAATCAACTCTTTCATTTTTAGGTTTTCTTCTAGGTTTTGTCATGTAGCATTTCACTTCTATATAATTGTAGCGATGTCACAGTCATGTCATATCTCAGCCAAGGAGAATAAGAAGTTCAAGGGGAAAAATAAAGAGACATCTGCAATGTGTTACACTCACCTTCTGCAAAACTTTCCATACTTTTTGATAAAATCCAATTGGAACTCTGTTCAGTGCTCCATCCAGCCTTCTTCGACGTTGCCATTGACCTTGACGATTATCTTTAAATGTCTGTTGATCATACGCACTAGGAAAGGAGTTACTACTTGGAGTCACAGAGGTTCCAGGTGACTTGGGAGAAAAGAAGAGGAAAGAATGTAAATCAAAAGTTATCTCTGTTCCTCTGATAAAGTATTATAGCACAGTGAATAATAAACACTCTGCAGAATTATAAACCACGTATTATATGTGACACCCAAGATAAAGAGGTTACGGTGAAGCTGGTAGATTTATGAGTAGCTAGCAGCAATGTAAACTGGTACAACCCTTCTAGAAAGCAATTTAATAATACATATGAAGAGCTATACAAACACTAATACATGAAAGTTTTTAGCTGTCTCTTTCCCTGGTTATCTGTTAAACTTCTAACTGGTCTATGGGTTAATTTGCTGCAATCACAAACTGTAACACAGCCTCAATCAGTTTAAAAGAATTGAAATCATAGGAAGTGTGTTCTCTGACTACAATGACATCAAATTAGAAATCAATAACAGAAGGAAATTTGGGAAAGAAAATTGGGAAGGAAATATATAAATATGTGGAAATTTGAAAATTCACCTCTATATAACCAGTGTTATGAAATAAATAAAAAAGAATATTAGAAAACACTCTAAGATTAAGGAAAATGAAAACACAACATACCAAAACTTACTGGATGAAGCTAAAGAGTTTTCAAAGAGAAACTTATGAATGTTTGTACTAAAAAAGAAAGCTCTCAAATCAAGGATGAGATCTTCCACCTTAAGACAATAAAAAAAAGAAGAGCAAACTAAACAGAAAGCAAGGAGAAGAAAATAATAAACATTATAGCAGAAAGAAGTAAAATAGAAAATAGAAAAACAGAGAAAATCAGTGAAACAAAAATGCTTCTTTGAAAATATATATTAACAAAATTGAAAAATCTTTAGCTAGACAGACCAAAAAAATTTTTTGAAGAGGATAAATTCAATGTATTAAAATCAGGATCAAAAGTGGGGACATCAGTTCCAACCTTAAAAAAATAAAAATGATTATAAGGACATAACATCAACAGCCATTTGTCAACAAATTACATAACTTAGATGAAATGAACAAATTCCTAGAAAGACACAAATTACCGTAATTGACTCTAGGAGAAACAGAAATCTGAATAGATCTATAACAAAGAGATCAAATAAGTAATTACAAAACTTCCCACACAGGAAAAGACCAGGTACAAATGGCTTCACTGGTTAATTTTATTAATTTTTTCACAAATTCTTCCAAAAGGAGAAGAGGAAGGAACTTCCCAATTTATTCTATGAGGCCCGTATTACCTTTATACCAAAATCAGACAAAAACATTACAAGAAAACTACAGATCAACATCCTTTACGAACACACATACAAATATCCTCAACAAAACACTAGCAAACCAAATTCAGCAACGTATAAACAGAATTATGCACCATGATGAAATAGGATTTGTTCCAGGAATTCAAGGTTAACATCCAGATATCAATTAATGTAATACATTACATTAATAGAATAAGAATAAAACATTAAAACTACATCATCCTAATAGATTAAGAAAAAGCATTTAATAAAATCTAACACCCTTTCATGATAAAAACACTCAACAAACTAGAAACAGAGGGAAACTTCTTCAATCTAATAAAGGGCATCCACAGCTGACGTGGTGAATGGTTGGAGATGGACTGTTCTCCTCCTAAGATCAAAATAAGACAGATGTTCACTCTTGCTACTTTTATTAATTATTGTACTGGAGGTTCCAGCCAGGGCTATTAAGCAATAAAAGAAATAAAAGTCATCCAGTGTAGAAAGAAGTAGAACTATCTCTATTTGCAGATGGCATGATCTTGTATATAAGAAATTCACTAAAAACAATAACAAATAAGTTCAGTAAATTTGCATGACAGAAGATCACTATACAAAAAGGGGAGAAGGTGGAGTCCTGCAATAATGTCAATATTAAACATTTTGTGCCCATCCAGGAATGGCTCAGTGGTTGAGCATTGACCCAGGATCCAGGAGATTGCGGTTCAATTCCCGGTAAGGGCACATGCCTGGGTTGCAGGCTCAATTCCCAGTCGGGGGGCATGCAGGAGGCAGCTCATCAATGATGAGTCTCATCATCAATGTTTCTATCTCTCTCTTTCCCTCTTCCTTCCTCTCTCTGAAATCAATAAAGATACATTAAAAACATTTTTTAAATAAAAAATAATAAATAAAATTTTAAAAAATCATTTGTATTTCTAAACAGTAGCAATCATCAATCTGGAAATAAAATAAAAGACAATTCCATTTAAAACGGCATCCAAACGAAGAAAATATTTAGAAATAAGTTTAACAAAAGAAGTGTAGAACATATACTCTGAAAACACAAAATGTGTTGAAAGAAATTAAAGACCTAAATAAACGGAAAAAAGTCCTATGCCCATGGATTAGTTAACACTGTTAAGATGGCAATACTCTCAAAATTGATCTAGAGATTGAATACAATCTTTATCAAAATCCCAGTTGGGTTATTTGCAGAAACTAATAAGCTTATTGGGGGGAGGGGAAATGGGGACATCTGTAATAGTGTCAACAATAAAAATAAAGTTAAAACAAACAAACAAACAAACAAATGGAAATTCAAGGGATCGATGATAGACAATTTTTAAAATGAAGACCAAAGTTGGAGGATTTACTATTTTCAATTTCAAAACTTACTACAAAAGCTGCAATAATCAAGATTGTGTCATGCAGGCATAGGCTAGGGATGCATATCAATGAAATAGAATTGGGAATTCAGACATAAGCCATTAATTTTCAACAGGGGTGCCAAGGAAATTAAATGGGAGTAAAGATAGGTTTTTTCAAAAAATGGTGCTGGAAAAACTGGATATTCACATGCAAAAGAGTGAAGTTGGTCCCCCTACCTCACATCATACACAAAAATTTAAGTCTAAATGGGTTATTGTACAGAAAAGTTACCACAGCAGGCCAGAAGTGCTATTCTTGGAAAGGCCTGCTTACAGATTGACCCCTGGCTGGCATTTGGAAACCTAGGTTTGGGGAGGGTTCCCATCATTCTCAAAACAGTGGCTTACTGCACCTAAACTGTTTGTGCAAACACTATGGCTTCTGTTGAACACTTGCTTTTCCTTTGGGAGTCTGGAGTTTTGGTATGTGCCAGACAGAGGCTGTTGATGTGAGCAGCCCCCAATAAAAATCCTGGGTGCTGAGTCTTAATAAGCTTCCCTGCTTGGCAATATTGCATATATATCACAACTCATTTGCTGGGGGAATTAAACACATCCTGTGTGACTCTGTCAGGAGAGTACTCTGGAAACTGGTGGCTGTTTTCCCTAAGATTTTGTCCAATTCACCTTTTCCCATTGTTGATTTTGCTTTGTATCCTTTCACTGTAATAAATCTTAGCTGTGAGTATGACTATATGCTGAGTCCTGTGAGTCCTCTTAGTGAATCATAAAACCTGGGGGTGGTCTTGGGGATCTCCAACATAATCATAGATGTAATTTTAAGAGCTAAAACTATAGAAGTCTTAAAACAAAAAACAGGAATAAATCTTTGTGACCTGGGGTTTGGCAAAGCCTTCTTAGATACGACGCTAAAAGAAAAAATAGGTAAACTGGACTTCATCAAAATAAAAAACTTATTCTTCAAATGACACTATCAAGAAACTAATTCAGAGGTTGATATTCTCTAGAAGGGAGAAAAGAAATGAAAGTGAAAGTGAAAAGACAACCCATAGAATGGAAGAAAGTATTTTCCAATCACATATCTAATAAGGGATTTGTAGTCAGAATATAAAAAGAACCTTTACAACTCAACAATAAAAAGACAAGCAACACAATTAACAAATGGGAAAATAATCTGAATGGAAATTTCTCCAAAGAAGATAAATAGTCAATAGGTACATGAATAGATGATCAATACCATAAACCACCAGGGAAATGCAAATCAAAACCACAATTAGATACCACTTCATATCCACTAAAATGGCAAGAATAAAAAAGACAAAAAATAACAAGGGTTGGTGAGGATATGAAGAAATTGGAAGCCTCAAACATTGCTGGTGGGAATGTAAAATGGTGCAGCTACTTTGGAAAACAGTTTGGCAGTTCCTCAGAATGCTAAACACAGTTACCAAATAACCTAGCACTCCCACTCCTAGGTGTATATGCAAGAGAAATGAATACATATGTCCACACAAAAACTTGTACATAAAGGTTCATAGCAGCATTACTCCCAACAGCCAAAGAAAAACAACAACAACAAAAAAACCAGAAAAAATCCAGTTGTCCATCAAACTATGAATGGATAAATAAAATGTGGTATATATCAGTACAAGATATTATTCACTAATACAAAGAAATGAAGTACTGACACATGCAACATAATGAACTTTGGAAAGCTATAAGTAAAGAAAATACATTGGGGAAAGTGGTTCTTTGACAGTTTCGATTCAGAAATAAACACAGAAAACATAATGGAAATATTTTCTGAGAAAAAACTTCTTACATTTTAATTTGGGCCAATACTTATATCACCAACCACTAAGTAAAACAGAAAAGTGCCCCAAGACATGTATTGGCCAGTGACTAACACACTAGTGCACTAAGTAGATGATTTGCTATTTGATTTATCTTCATTGACTTTGTCTCTACCATCAAGATCCTAGGCTGCTGATAGTGGGGTCAACCCATAAAGGGCATTCAGACTATTTTCTAAAACCAAATAGTAGTTTTGAGTTTTTAGATTAACTTTTCCTCTATACCTATGTCCTCCTGTATTAATGTGCATATGACAGAGTTGGTCAAACTTACTATACTAATTAATTACAGGGTATTTGGTTAAGGTCAATAGAAATGTCAATATTGTGTCCAATACTTTTTTCCATTTTTTTGTTTGCTTGCTTCTGAAATTATAGGCCAGTATGAATCACTGATTTTAACCAGGGGCGGGGAACCTTTTTTATGCCAAGGGCCATTTGGATATTTATAACATCATTTGTGGGCCATACAAAATTATCAACTTAAAAATTAGCTATGAAAAAAACTTCTAGATTTATTGAATTTCAAGTCCTGCCTGTAGTTGCCTTGGAAGGCCCAGACCAAATGATTTCATGGGCCATATATAGCCTGTGGGCCAGATATTCCCCACTCCTGATTAAACCAAGGAAATTTCACTACTATATTTCCAATGCCTGGCATGAAATTGGCACTCATTTAATATTTACTAAATAAATCAATAATCAGAATAGCTACTCCAGTGGCTTTCAAAATTAAAAGTCAGAATCACCTAGAAAGATTATTAAAACACAAACTACTGGGCCTCTACCCAGACTTTCAGGCCTAGGGTGGGGACCAAGATACTACATTTCTAACAAGTTCCCAGAGAATGCTGATGCTGTCTGGTACACTGCCTGATGCATAGTAGACATGCAATTAATTATAAATTAAAAAATAAACAAATAAACAGATACTTAACAAATACTTATAAAATTGGATTTTGTTTTCTGAAATGGAAAAAAGGTTGGAGTTGAACACCCTTTCTTGCCTTTTTGGGACAAAAATGGAAAGATTTCACCTTCATATATAAACTTGATTTATATTTATTTTAGTTCTTAATTCATTTTGTTTTTCTTTTCAATCAATCAGTATATGTCATGATATTCAAAGCAATTGTGAATGGTATATAATACAAGATAACAGCCATTACCAGAAAAGACGGTGACATCAAATCTATACCCAGGGCGTGACCACCATTGGACTATAAAAAAATTGAGAAAATACAATTTTAAAAGACATGAGGCAAAGCAACCATTATTTTCATTTTTAAGTTATTAGAGTAAAATAAGAGATTATTCAAGTAACTAGCCAGCATGTTATCATTTAAAAAGCTGGTGAAATAGCCTTACTCTAGAAGTCATGGTAAAGAATAAAACAAAGAAAACTACCTGAAAAATATTTTTCCATAAGAAAAGAGGGCATTGGTCAGTGGTAGAGAAAATGGCTAAGAACAATACAAAATTACCAGACAGGCAGGTGACGACAGAAATCAATATTTAGAAATTAAGAAAATAATGAAAATTTATGGCTCCCCATAGTCTAAAATACAGTCCTAATGATTTTGGCTTTCTTGAAATCCTATAGGTAGTGAATGTGTGAAATAAAGAATTAAATGATATAACATGGACTTCAAGTTCTAAATATATAATGGACTTGTAAGTAATACTGTGTGACTGCAAACAACCATAAAATGTTTAGCCAATCACTTTCAACCATAACAAGAATTGTTTACCAACAACATCAGTTTAACTCTTCAGTATGAAATATAGCTCTTTCACTTTTCAGATAAAAAAAATGTTCAAAGTACCCAAATTATCTGGGGGAAAAACCTGTAAAGTGAACATTTTTCTATCACAAGGCCCATTCTTATTCCATTGCATAATAAAAATGTGAAAGACTATCTGATAAGTGTTCTTGCTCTCGTATAACGTAAATTGGAAAGGGTATCTGATAAATGTACTCAAATTAAGTTTACTTCAAATTAAACTTCAAGCATTGGCTCATTTTCTTCCTAAATAGTTTGTGACTCCTAAAAAAATTCTATTCTGTCTCTCCTCTTCTGTATGTGCTTTCATAGTGCAAGCTAGCACAAATCTATTTTAAAAGCAGGGACAGTAGATTTAAGATTTTCATAAAAAGTGCTACTAAGATCAAATTAGTACCTTCTCAACCTGAACTTTAAAGTCACATTATTTCTCAGAATTTTGAAAGAAGATTTGGAAGTTTGTGTTAATTGTTTCTTTTTATAATACAGTAACTCATCTATTCTCATCTGCAGGAAAAAATGAGTAAGAGGCTATAATATGATGTTTGTTGACTCCCACCAACTCTCAGACTAATTTAAGTGCTTTTCCTTTATGTGCCCACAACACCTCTATCAAGACAATGATAAAAATCTAATTTCAGGACAATACCTGAAAACAGATTTTTAAAAAGGCCCACACATAATCTGGTGTTCTTGCTGGCATCTCTTCTTAAAAGTAAGAACCTAAATCTAGTTTCATAAAGAAAATCAATTCCAAAATTACATGTTGATCCTAACAAGAGGAACTCTGAGTTTTAAAATCTGGCTATCAGAAACAAATTACTTTTCTCCTAAAATTAGCAAAATAGTTTGGCCCAGACAAAAAGGAAAGCTGTCTAGAAAATGACTGCTATAAAAGAGAATCAATCAAGCTACTCTGTGGCTCATGTCATCTTATTTGTTAAAAGGCCATGAGCCCATGAATGTTATATAGAATTAAAGGCAGGCTAAACTATGTTAAAGGATCCCTAGTTGTTTCACCTGACTCTCAGTTGTGATAGAGAGCCTATAAAATTCCACCTGAAAAACATGTGTCTCAAATTAAACTCAGAATATGGAACAAAATACATAATCCCAACAAAGTCTAATTTCCAAAGAATGTTCTTAAACATGACAATATCTCAGCTAATCTCCCAAATAGTACCTTACCTGCTTTATCTCACTTTTTAACTGCATGATCCCAGTTCGTTCAGTTTTGGTTGCTCCAACAGCACCAATCTCATGGATAGAAATGGCAGGGCTGATATTTGAATCAGTGGGAAGCACTATATAGCACGACAGATTAAAGATAGAGAGGATAATCAGGTTCAATGTTTTTTCCTCCACCACATTTCAAAGACTTCAATGCATGTCTTCCTTTCACAATACTTGAAAAAACAAACAAACAAACAACTATAACCTTGCTATTCAAAGTGTGGTCCATGGACCAGCAGCATTAGCATCATCTAGGAGCTTTTTAGTAGAATATTAGACCTCACACTGGACCTTTGGTCCAGAATCAGTCTGCATTTTAGCAACTTCCCTAGGTACACAGTAAGGCTTGAGGAGCACTGCTTTAAAATTTTCTTTTACCAATCTAAGTTCTGGTATCCATCCATCTGACATTATATATTTATTTGTCCTAAGCCTAAAAGTTGAGCATGGGAAGTAACCTTTTGCATTTGTTCTGATGTTTTAGGTACTCAACACCAAATCCCACTGCCCAACCACCAAGTGCAGGTGAAAGATTAATTTCACCTAGATGTATTTGAATTTAAAAATGTACTGTAGCAGCTACATACATATGTACATGTGGGTTGTTTGTTGTCCTAAAATAGAGACTTCAATTTAGCATAATTTAAGGGAATGGATAAAGCTATTCAAAACAAAACATGATAGTAATCTACTTAGTTGATATTATCATTTAAGGGGGAAAAATGAGACATACAGTGGTTTCCAAATCTTATTCCAAAAGACAGCTTTGTTTTTAACTGTTTCATATATTGGGGTTTTATTTATTTTGGAGGAAAAGGTTCCTTGGATAAAAGAAAAACATTTTAAAATCAATGAGATACTGAAAAGCTCTGAAATGCAAATTCAACCTTACCGCTTCTTTCTACTCCAAACTCTTTGCCACTGAGAATGTGATGCAGGAGGCTCTTCATTGCTGAAGGGCTGAGATTCATCAGGCCGTCTGTGGCTTCCTCAGCTAGTCAGCAGAAATGTTAGGGCAGAGAGATTTCTAATTGGCCTGCCATACCCAGCGTATTTTTCCCTATTTCTTTCTTGTTTAGAATTTCTGAGTCATTTGATTGGAAGAATAAAATAACAAAACAAATTTCTAGCACCATACTGCCTAGATATTAAGACTGTAATAGATTTATAATAATTTAAGGACTGACTACCCAGTTTATGGATTAGTCAGGTCCTTGATTTCTTTTTCACCTCTCTCCACACCATTAGGGTATTCAGTAGGATCTTTATTTGAAGGTGGAAAGAATGAAAGGAGAACAATGGAACTGGAACTAATCAGAGAAAGGCAATGAGTGTATATATGCAGATGGACTAAAATAATCAAAACTTGTCAGCCTGGAAATGCAGAGACTTAAAAGAGAATGGATATAAAATTATAAAGAATACTGAGAAGATAACTTAAACTTGTTCATCAGCATCAGACACTTATTAAGAGTTTTCTACATGTGGGCAATGATTTTATGCAATGTTAGTACTAATAGGTATGACATGGTACTTAACCTTGAGAGGCTGAGCAATTATTTGGGAGAGACTGGATATTTAAACAAGATAAATAATACTAAAACTGCCAAATGAGGGTTGATTAAATTAGTGGGAAGTTCTGTTGAAGTATGAGGATCTTGAATATCAGACTCAGGGATCTTAACTTTATCCTATAAGAAATAAATAGCCATGGTTTTGATGAATCCACAGGAAAAAATTTCCACAGCAGGCAATTAAGGAAAAGTGAAAAAATGTTTGCAGGTTTATTCCTCATTGGGGCTTGTTATTGAATAATCAGACCCTCATAAAACATCCTTTGATCCCAAAGCTAGAGGATATACATTTATAATACATGTAATATATATTAACTAGAAATCATTTGGAATCAGGCAGACTTGTAATCAATTTCCATTACTTACTAGCTATGTAACTTTGAGCAAATTGTTTAACCTCTCTGAGCTTGTTTCCTTATCGGTAGAAGTGGGACAAAGATACCTTCTCGAGAGGGTTGTTGTAAAGATTAAATGAGATAATATATGTAAATATAAAGGAAAAAGCAGAGTGTCTGGAATATGGTAAGTATAAATTAATCATTAGCTCTCTTCCTTTAAAGGGTTATTTAAATATAATTTATCTCATGTAATTTATGTTAGACTCAAACCAATAAATTTAGGTACTTTGTTAACAGTTCAACTAAAAGCCTTTTACGTAAATTTAACTGAGAAAATGGCTAAAATTGAGTTTAGCCACTGTGATATTGTTTTTGTAAGCAATCCCTATTTCTTGTAATTCTTGTTGAATTAACACAAATATCCTTGGAAAAAATAGTCATGCCATGGGGGTCCGTTTCCCCCTTCACACTTTATATAATTCTGCTCTACAGCTTCAAAGAGAGTCTTGTCAGATAAATATTAACAGAAATATTGCCTTCCTTTATTCAGTCTTGATGTTGCTAGACAGAATACTGACATTATGATCAAACTGATGTCGTGACTTAGTGTGGTGTCCAGAAGCTGCACTGACTGAATCAGAATCTAACCCGGTCTTTCACACCCAAGTTCCATGTATGCTAGGAATTAAGAGGAATGTAGTAATTTGGAGGCCCCAAGAGGTGGAGTTTTGAAGTTACAGAACTAATTAAATTTGTCATAATATCAGTCTTTTTACTTGTATAGAGACTGACTAACCTAGGAACAAGATTGCTATATGCAGCTTTTGCACTACTCATAAAAATGCTTTAGCTTTCTTTCTCCTCCTGATCTCAACTCAACAGACTTACATTAAAAGTGAATTCTGCCTGAAATAGTTACTAAATTGAATACCTGAGCATCGAAGGGAGTGGGCCAGTTCTGTTGCCATAACCTGTATAATCAGACCAATTCGAAGTCGAAACATTTCAGCAAAGAGGCCAGGCTGGGTTCGCATATACATGGCTAGATATACCATTATTTCCTGTGCATGGAATGGATATAGACAAAAATTATGGCCCAGGCCTCACAAAGCCTATTTGGTGGTCAAGTGCCATATCAATTGAAAACAAACTTTAAAATATCAATCACTAGATTAGGCTTTATAATTCTGCTCACCTGTGTTAGGATTGAAATGCTCATATCCCCTTCACTGGCTTCATCTATCAGCTGAGTGAGTACTTCATAGGGCAGAGGTCTGAGGAAGAAGACAGCAAAGACAGACAAAATTCTGCAACTACTTAAGCCTAAATATACGGAGAAAATAAAAATGCTCCTCCCAAGTAGAAGCCACTGCCTCAGTGTCTTTACTGGTGGCATGCTGGTTCTTTCAGCCTTCAGAATTCATTACCTCCCCAAAACACTCTGGCCCGTATCAACACAAGAGAGCTCTGCTCTCTTCTATCTAAACCTGGAGTGCCTTTCCCCTACAACATTTTATGTAAAACTCACTCTATGATGTCCTTCCAGACTAGCCTTTCATGGTTAAGAATTAACTTTTGACAATTAACTATTATGGCTAGAAAGTAATAAACTAAATTTAAGCTGTGCCTTTTGGAAGCCATTTTATTACTTCATAATCATACCTTATAGAGTTATATTGATTTTCTACAGTTTCATCAGTTTACACACACACACACACACACACACACACACACACACACGGGTATACACACCTCCTCCCACACTTCTAACTCTCCTGTTGATACTAAGCACTCTGGAGGCATGAGGTGTGGACCATGCCATCTTCTTCTTTGGGACTGCCTGCAGTAAGTTTTATTATACTACTTTGCTTTATTGTGCTTCACAGATACTGCATTTTTATCAACATTGAGGCAAGACTCTCCACCAGCACAAAGATTATGACTCACTAAAGGCTCAGATGATGGTTAGCATTTGTTAACAATAAAGTATTTTTTAAATTAAGGTATGTACATTTTTTAGATATAATGACATTGGACATTCAGTAGACTACAGTATAGTATAAACATAACCTTTATATGTACTAGGAAATTAAAAAGAAATTGTGTGACTCACTTTATTGTGATATTTGCTTTATTGCGGTGGTCTGGAACTGAACCGCAATATCTCCAAGGTATGTCTGCCGTGACAAAATTAATCTGATTTGTGATAAAAAGGTTCTGTTTGCCAGGAGCAAGGTGTTATGGGTTGAACTGTGTCCCCTCAAAGTTCATATGCTGAAATCTTAACCCCTAGTACCTCGGAATGTCACCTTATTTGGAGGTTATTGTGTGGGCCCTAATCCCATAGGAGTAGGGTCTTTATATAAATGGGAAATCTGGACACAGAGACACACACACGGAGGAAAGAAACATAAAGAGGCACAGGGAGAAAACAGCCATCTATAAGCCAAGGAGAGAGGAATGGAACAAAGTCAAAAGAATAGTTGATTATTTTGTGGGTGCTAATTCCAGTTGCTCTGTTTTTTGTTTTTGTTTTTTTAAAAATATATCTTTATTGATTTCAGAGAGAGGAAAGTAGAGGGAGAAAGAGATAGAAACATCAATGATGAGAGAGTCGTTATTCATCGGCTGCCTCCTGCACATCCCCGACTGGGGATGGAGCCTGCAACCTGGGCATGTGCCCTGACTGGGAATGGAACCCTGATCGCCTGGGTCCTAGGTCAACACTCAACCACTGAGCCACGCCCGGCTGGGCTGTTTTTGTTTTTAATGAAAGGTTTGGGAAAACCAATAAGAAAAAACAAACAAACAAACAAACAAACAAAAAACAACAAAAAAAATCAAACCAAAAAAAAAAAAGCAAAATACAAAAATACATTTGAATGCTACTTACTGTGAGTTTCCTCTTTCATTTACTCTGCCCTGTTATTATCAACATTCTCATCCTGAGAAACTCATGCATATGGGACATTATCACCCATTGGCAGGTTAGGGCAAGAGAATTGGGGTCAGTTCACACAGCTCCTTAAAGACTAAGAGAAGCATGAACAAATCCAGTCAAAAACCATACTCACGCAGAGATAGTCTTCTCTCGAGGCTCTGGAGGGAGTCCCACTGTCAAATGTTTCTGGTGGGAGAGAAGGTCTGTGCAGGCCTAAGGAGAGACAACATAACAGCATTATCCTTCCCATAACACCTCAGACTTCCATGAAAATTACTTTTTTCTGCCTAGAAGACTTTGCTCCCCCTTAATTTAATGACACACCAAAGTGTATTTCTCAGAAAATACCATGAAGATCAGAAAAGAGAGATTTCTAGGAAGGAACAGTGAGGTATTTTATCTCCTAAGGGGTAGAAACTCTTGGTTTAGTGTAAATTCATTCTTAAGATCTAGAATTCTTATAGTTTATAACATCTCTATAAGTCTACAGTTTACATGCATCAGTATATTTGCAAACAAAAAAACTAACTGAATATCAGAAACTTTATGTAGGAAAGACAGTATTTCAAATGATTAGAGGCTGTGGTTGCTTTAAAAGAAGTATGGACACCAATTTTTAAAAACGTCCTCCATTTAGCCTCGCCGGATGTGGCTCAGAGGTTGAGCATTGACCTATGATCTAGATCGTGGTTCGATTCCAGTCAGGGCACATGCCCGGGTTGTGGGCTCGATCCCCAGCAGGGGGTGTGCAGGAGGCAGCCGATCAATGACTCTCATCATTGATGTTCTTATCTCTCTCTATCCCTCTCCTCTCCCTTCCTATCTCTGAAATCAATAAAGACATATTAAAAAAAAATAATAAAACACCCTCCATCTAGATTTGGTGTCAATTTTTAAAAAAATTATAGTACCTCATCGAGTGCTTCCACCTTCTTCCTTAAGATTCCAGAGATGTACCGGATCAGGCCCCAGTGACGGATTTCTCCAACTTTGCCATATAGTTCAGTAAGCAGCTCTCTGACTGTTGTATTCCCTTCATCATACAATCTAGTGTCCCAGTCAGGTCCTCTGGAATATTAAAGACAGGCCTACATTAATGGTAAGTAAAGCTGTCAGCAACAATCTTTCGTTTCAGTGTTAGAATGGATATACCTGTTTTTTATAGGTCTCTCTTTCAATAGAAAATGAATGCTATTATTAACTAAGAATCCTTGTAAAACTCTGCTTAATAGTTTGTCTAGTCAAATAGTTTGTCTAGACAAGAATAAATCTTAGTTTCAGCTGTGTTTTGACAAAATGCATTATTTTACCCTCTTCATGGGCTTCAAGGGTGCTGAAAATAAAGTCAAAGATTTAATTTAACTATTGAAAGTTCAGATAGTAGCCACTTAGGGAACTAATGAAGAAATAACAAGGATGAGTGCTTATTTTTAAAGGACACATACATGTTATTGTTGTAAAAATTACTATAATACAAATCAGCTGTAAAATACCATAAAAGATATATAAAGCACTATGAAATTGGGAATTTAGTATATGATAAGAGTAGATTATTTATTAAATGATGTTAAGTAGCCATCTAAAAAAGAAGTTGGATCCATGCCAGAATTCCAAATGTATAAAATACTTAAATATAAAAGTACTAGAAAAAATATGGGAGAACTATTTTATAACTTTGGAGGCAAGAGGACTTTTTAACTATGAACTATACACCAGAACCCATAAAACAAAAGATTGATACATTTATATACATAAAAACAACAAAATTCTTATTGCAAAACCCACTGAAAGCAAAGTCATAGGATAAATTTCTAACTAATAAAAATATTTGCAATTCATAGGCTAATTTCCCTAATATATAAAGAACTCCAACAAATAGATAACAAAATAAAAACAACAAAAGAAAATCTGGCAAAACAAATACTGATCACTTTTAAACACAGGAGAAGGTGATTGATGTCACTTATAATAAGAAACATTCAAATTAACCAAGCTAATAGTTTTTTCATCTCTTATGTTGTCAAAAATCTCAAAATTTGATAACAATGCATTGATGAGTCTTTGGGAAAATAGGCAATCTCAATATGTTGCCAGTGGAAGTGAAAATTAGGACAATCAGTTTGGATGGCTATTTGGAAATATATATCAATATTAAAATACCTATATTATTTGATCTAGCAATTCTACTGCTCATATATCTGTAGGATAAATTCTAAACATGAGAAATGATATATGCTATGAGGTTATTCACTATAGCATTGCTTGTAACAGTGAATGACTGAAAACAATCCAAATGTTTATCAATAGGAAACTGGTTAAACAAATGATGACATATTCAAACAGTGGAATGCTATGCAACTATTATGAAATTATAATGTAGATTTAGATTATAGCAGATTGTACATTTCAAAAGGGCTGCAACAATACTCCATCTCACATGCTCTTCTTACAATGTGACTTTCACAGCCTTCCCATCAAGACTGCATTATTCTCTCCCCTTCAACCCAGGCATGCTTATGACTAAGGTGGAAGTGATGCTATATGATTTCTGAGGCTAGGTCATAAAAAGTAATGCAGCTTCCACTTGGTTCTTTCATAGGATGCATACTCTTGGAATCTAGACACCATGCTGTGAGGAAGTGGAGAGACAGGTCATTTGTGCATATTCTAGGTAACAGCCCCAGCTGAGGTTCCATCCAACAGCCAGTACTAACCCCAAGATATATAAGTGAATAAGCCTCAGGAGGACTTCAGCCCCAGACACCGTTAGATCACAACTGAAAGAGACACCAAGTGAGAACTGCCTAGCTGAGCCTGAGCAAGCCCTAGAATTGTGACAGATAATTTGAACACTTTTTGTTTTTTAATTGTAAGCCAGTGAATTTTGGGGTGATTTTTTAAGCAGTGACTGATAGATGAAATATATATGTAATGATCTTCAAAATATATAGTTTTAGTGAAAAAAATAAGGTACAGAGCAGTGTATATACTATGCTACCATTTGAGTAAACAGGTAAAAAGTATACACATATATGTCTGTATTTACCTATATATGCATAAAATGTTCCTAGAAGTATACACAAAAAATCAATAGCATTGATGGCCTGTGAGGAAGAAAACCAGGTATCTGAGAAACAAAGGTAAGAAAAAGACATTTTTTTTACCCTTTCAATGTATAATTTTGTATTTTAAAAAGTTTGAACCATGATAATGTATTATCTATTCAATATAGTTAATTATATTAAATATATATTATGTATATTTTAATATAATTGCATTATATATTTAAAATACTAACTATACTAGATACATTTAACATGTTAATTTCTTAAAACATGAAATAAAAAAATGCTATAGGAAGCCCTGGCTAGGTGGCTTATTTGGTGGAATATCATCTTGTTCACCAAAAGGTTGTGGGTTCAATTCCTGTTCAGGGCACATACCCAGGTTGCAGCTTTGGTCCCTGGTCAGGCATGTATAGGAGGCAACCAATTGATGTTTCTCTCTCTCCCCACCCCCTTCTAAAAATCAATAAAAACATATTCTCAGGTGAGGATTTTTAAAAATGCTATAGGAAGAATCATCAATGGATTAAAAAACTAGTGAATGAAAGTCTAAAGATTAACAGGATATTTACACAGTCTCAATGTATATCTCAACAAGATAATTTTTAATTACAAAGTTTAACATAATAACTTCACAGTGGAGAAATGTAAAAGATACCACCTTAACCAAGTGATCAAACCAAGTGATCAAAGTTACCAGCATCACTTCAGTGGTATTGCTGCCAAAAATGCATAAACTTGAATTTAATTATGAGAAACAACAGCTAAACCAAAATTTAGGAAGATTCTGCAAAATAACTTGTCTGTATTTTTCAAAAATGTCAATAACATGAAAAATAAAAACTCAGGAACTGTTCCACATTAAAGGAGACTAGGAACACATGAGAATTGAATGAAATGTATAATTTATATTTTCTTTTGCTGTAGAGACATTATTGGGACAACTGATAAATCTCAGTAATGTCTGCAGATTAGATGACAGTATTGTCTTAACATTAATTTTCAGACTTTGGTGATTGTACTGTGCTTATGTCAGAGAATTCCTACTCTTTAGGAAATACACACTGAAGTATTTAGGGGTAGAACAGGTGTCTGCCACTTACTCTCAAATGGTTCAGAAAAATATATATGTGTGTGATGATGATGATGATGATGATAGAGAGAGAGAGAGAGAGAGAGATCAAGACTCAGTGATTCAGTGTGAACATCTGAGGGATCTGGGTGAAGGATATCCAGAAAAATTTTTGTACTATCCTTACAATTCTTCTCTAAGTTTGAAATGATCAAAATAAACATAAATAAATAATATGAAAAGAAGTGCTATGAGATCTCACATTTTGGGAAGATCCTTTTTATTTCTAGAGATCAGAGAACAGTCCGTGGAGGTGATGGGTGAACTAGGCTTTGATGTATAACTAGAATTCTGACAAGAAGAGATGGGATGTAGTAAAAGAGAGTAGTCGAGGCAGAGGAAGAAACATGAACCAAGGTGTGAAAGTAGTCATGTATAGACTATTTTGAACCTAAGTAGTACTTTGTTTTGATGGGAGTATTCATATTGTGAGGAGGGAGCAATGGTAGATAAAGGTTGAATGTCAGATCATAGAGGATGTAGATTTGAGCACTGATTCCCAAGAGTATTAGTGATGTCATAAGGAGAGGCAGGGGATGAGGATGAGTTGTAGATGATGACACAATTTCAAGTCTGGATGATATCACAAGCAAGGTCAGGAAGTAGTAGCTTTCTGGTAAAGATATTGAATTTGATTTTAGACATGTTGAGTAAGAAGACATACATAAAAATAAATAAAAATAAATTCCAAGTAGATTAAACACCTAAGTGTTATTTTAAAAAAAAATTAAAGGTATTTAAAATATTTAAAAATTCTAAAACAGTCATTTTGTCCTTACTCCTATCTTTTTTATCTCTGATTTTTTATTACTCTCCTTTTAGCATTGTTCCTGGCACATAATAAGTACCCAACAGATACCTGTTGAATAAAGTACCCTATATAAAGGAAAAGAACATAGAAACAAAGGTATCAAAATAGTAAGGCCCATGTCTTTT